CTCCCTCAAGTGTTGGACGGAGTATAAGCTGTTTATCTGGGCAAAAAAAAGTTTATGGGACTTTATAGGAAGTGTGGTTGGTTTGGGCTGTGAGCGCGGTTATGATCCCACAGTGATTGCAGAGAACTGATTTTTGATGTGTCGGAGGTTAGAACAGATATTATTGGTCGGATTTCTGTTTGACGAGTTCAAAGCGACTTTGTGGTCCCACCCCCCTGAGTTCAGTCTACCCGGGATAATAATTGACCTTTTGGTCAGAACCAGCAATATTTTCTCCGACGTGGTCCGGGCCGGCTGCTTTTCATACTCCGCATGCATGCCGCGGCCCCTTTCATTCCACTGGGCCGGCCTTTCTGCTAGGACGCCAGGAGTGCAGCTTGCTGATAGGAATGAATGGCGCTGTCTGGGACCGGGTCGGTGGAAAGATCGCTGGAGGTAGAGAGCTTTATTGAAGGACAACGTAGCTAAAGGGGAAGGCGTCCTTTTAATTGATGTTCCACATGCAGTTGATTGATTCATTCATTTTAATTGAGCAATTTTAGTTGAAACCGAATGCGGATGGATTTTACAGTTTATTATTTTTCCCTTCAGAAGGAAAGACCCGTTTATCTTTCTCTTCCTCACTGAGGTCCAAGGCGGGTGGTGTACCCACAGGGATTGTTCTCAGTTTTAAATGGTTTCCAAATGCTGACAGCGTTTTCCAGGCATTCGGAAGGTGTTTCCTTAGCACGTGCATGTTCCCGCACGGCTGTATACATTCCTTGCAGTTGTTGAATGTTTGGAAAGTTTTGATCCTGCTACATACTGGTTGCAAAGAAAACATTATTTTGGGAAGCAGCAATTTATCTTTATGTTTTATGACTCCCAGAAAAACCCCCCAAAAGATCATAAATGGGGAAGAATCAAAATGTAAAGGCAATGCATGTAATGGCATTAATAGAAGTAACTGCGAGAGCTTGAACATACCACTTTTCCGTATAGTCCCCATGCAATGTGATGAACTTGTTGTATTGTTCAACCAGCTTCTGTATTCCTGAAGAGGAACGCACTGTGGCTGGTGTGAACTAGCCCTTACCAAGAACTCCCATCATTTTAAATAGGGGCGCTGTCAGTACTGCGTCATGATAATGGATATCATTGTTGGTGCTTTTACGCCTGACAAAACTCCAGATGTGCGTCCCTATGAACCTGTCCTACCAGGAAAGTCACAGCTTGTTTTCCCTTAAACTCAACTCTGCCAAAACTTTTCCTTTTTTTGTGTGGCTACAGTTGGGATTTAAGGCTAAACTTTGGGAATATGACAAATCTACCCCCCTGCACTGGAAGGGTTAAATGCATGTTTTTGTTTTTAGGGTACCAAAAAAAAAAAGTTTCTTACTTTATTCCCCCACCTTCCATGTAATCAGCCCCCCAAAGCCTCTTCTTTTTGGCACCCCGGCTGGGGGTTGTAGCAATGGCGTCCTCACCAGCAGTCCTGCATTGTAAGTGATGGAGCGGGGATCTGCCCGTATTCCGGAGTATCACAGGGCACTGACTGCAATGGGCATTTGACCCTTAAAGTGCAGGAAGAGCCCCACAGCAAGGGTAGTTCCGTGTTCCCAAAGGACTTATGTGTGCGCAATTCTCCTATTATAATTGCTGTAAATAGTTTGAATGGCTTGTGTCTTTATATTACATTGGGCTGACTTACCTTTTGTATTATTCTCTTTCTACACTTATTGTATGAGTCTAGATCAACCCATGAAGAAATGGGGGACTTGCCTCACCACTTCCTGCTTGGATCATCAGATGAGATTGCTGCAAAGTGCTTCCATACTCCCGTCCACAAATACCCGCAACAGGTCACGATTTCAGGACTTCTTTAAAGCGACTCGATCATTAGGTGAACGATAAGCCCAGCCAATAAAAAAGAAACTGATCCTCGTGTGTCCCGTCACCTATTCTGACGATCTTCACTCTCTAGGAGAACTCTGCCATCTGTTTCTGTATCAGCGTTGGATCTCTGCACGCTTTGGTTCCTGCCGCCGGACCCATATCACTGCTTTGTCCTGTAGTGGATGGCGGGTAGAACCACAGTACGCAGAGGGGGACCCGACATCCAACACTCCTAGACGTGTGTCTGATACAGAAGGTTTCTCAGATCGGATAGCTCTTCGTGGGAGAGGAAATCAATGACGGGTCAGGTAAGAATGATCTCTTCTTTATAGGCGGGGCTTATCCTAAAACAATTAGCGGAAGAGTCACCTTTTAAAGAAACCTCCTTTTGTAAATAATGTACATAATACAATGTAAATAGGTTTCCACTCATACCATATATATGCAAGTTAATATTGTTAGACATTCCTTTCCGCTTCAGTCTGCAGCCAGCCATCAGATTCCTCCTCTTCTCTGTTACATGGACAGCAGCATTCATTTCATAGATGGGGGTCATCAGATTCCTGTCATTAGCTCACTCTCTCTCCCACAAAATTGCACCAAGCTTACTGGAAACCCGAAAGGATAGAAATATGGGCTCTCTGGCCCCGATTCATCAAGCTTCACGCAGCACTTAAGGCGGAATTAAAGTCTAACAATAAAAAAAAAACTTACCAGGCGGTCAGGATTTTTGACAGAAGAGAAATGCAAAGTCTCTAATGCCAAATAACTTCTTCCTCTTTCACCTATGAATTTTTAATTTCCTATGTACCCTGTATGGTGCTGCGCAGTGTACACTCGGCTCATTCCCGGCATCTATATGATGGGAAATGGGCCAGGTGCCGGGGACTATAAACGCCTGTGTGCATGTGCTGGAGTGACATCATCACTGGCTGCCCAATGGGTGAAGAGGATTGCTTCAGCACCCTGAAAAATCAGCAGCAAATGTGTCAGGGGTCACAGGCGCCTGGACCCGTCTTCGCTGCAGGACAGGTAGGAAGTGTGCCATAATCTTATGGCAGAGCTCACTCCCAAAAACAACGTTTACTTCCGCTTTAAGGCATTCTAATGTAGCATCTCAGTCGGTATGTCCTTAAAAACAGTCCGCAATGAAAGCTCCGGTATTTTAGATTGTGCCATCCCCAGTCTCCTCCCTGGCGAGTAGAGATGAGCGGGGGCTTGGTGTCAACTCATTTAGCTGGAG